GCTTGATGAGCAGTACAGTTTAGCGGGATGTTCCCTTCAGCACCAAAGCTGACTTAAAAATACTACAACTCTTATGGCAGTTTGCCACTCTTTTGGCTGTGGTTGCACAACTGTTGGTAAGGCTTTGTGGTAATATCGGATCACTGAACTGATGTGGATTAAAAATAAATTTACAAGAATGAAAGACATTGGTGATTTTTCAACTGACTCTTTAACTGGTGCAGTTTTGCAGGTTCTACCCGCATTTGTGGGCTTGTGCTGTGGGAGGTATAAATAGCAGTGGAGAGGCATAAGAGAAGTGGAATTAATAGAGTGAGACCTGTTAGCTTCTTTTGCTCTTGAGAAGGTAACATGAGGTTGCTGTTGGTGTTCCTATAATCTATTCAGAAGAGAGAAACTTGTTGCTTGGTTGCAAGAGCTGTTGCCTTCACCTTGTCCCCAGTCTGAATCTCACTTTCTGTGCCTATTGGGGCTTTTCCCTTCCTTGTTGCTACTACTTTGTAGAAAAAGTAGCTACTTTGCTACTCTGTAGCAAAGCCCAAGGCTAGACGGTTTCCTGAGTAGGACGTCAATGGGCTGGATTTTTCTTGGACTGTTTTGTACCCAGAACTTCCCATCCCTCACTATCTGGGAAAGTTACTTGCTTTTTTCTCCTGCTGTGTTTGTTTTTGAAATAAGTTCTTGGCCTGAGTACCAGTGTGAGTCAGCTAAATGCCAGAGGATACATCCATGCAGCTAAATGATAGCTTAACTACAAGGGAACTACAGGCCAGTCAGTCATCTCTGTGCCTTACAAGATCATGGCGTAGATCCTCCTGGAAACTATGCTCAGGCACATGGAAAATAAGGAGGTGAGTGATGCTAGCCAAAATGGTTCACTAGGGGTAAATTGTGCCTGAAAAATTTTATGGTATTCTACAATGGAGTAATGGAACGGGGGGTTAAGAGAAAAGCAACTGACACTTGTGCAGAACATTTAACACTGCCCATATGACATCCTTGTTTCTAAAATGAAGAGAAATGGATTTGGTGGATAAGGGTCACTCTCAAAGAGTTGCAATCAAAGGCTCGGTGTCCAAATGGAGGCCAGTGACGAGTGGTGTCCTCAGGACAGTGGGATGAAGTGCATTCTCAGCAAGTGTGCCCTACAACAACAACTGGGTGGTGTGGTCAACATCCTGGAAGGAAGGGATGTCATCTAGTAGGATACTTAAGAACCGTGTGAACCTCATGAAATTCAACAGTGCTAAGTGCAAGGTCCTGCACCTGGGCTGGGGCAGTCCTGAGCACAAATACAGGCTGGGTGGAGAATGGTTTGAGAGCAGCCCTGAAGAGAAGGACTTGGGGGTTCTGGTGGATGAGAAGCTGGACATGAGCCACCAATGTGTGCTTGCAGCCCAAGGGCCAACTACATCCTGAGCAGCATCAAAAGCAGCACGGCCAGCAGGGGGAGGGAGAGGATTCTGACCCTCTGCTCTGTTCTGTTCACACCTGGAGTGCTGTGTCCAGCTCTGGGGGGGCTCCTGAGAAGGGCATAGGCCTGTTGAGCAAGTACAAAGGAAGTCACAAAGATGATGAGGGTGCAGGAGCACCTCTCCTATGAAGACAAGCTAAATGAGTTGGGAATATTCCGCCTAGAGAAGAGAAAGCTTCAGAAAGACCTTAGAGCAGTCTTCTAGAATGTAAAGGAGGCCTGCAAGAAAGCTCGTGAGGGACTTCTGACAAAGACCTGTAGTGATAGGATAAGGGAGAATGGCTTTAAACTGAAAGAGGGTAGATTTATGTCAGATATTGTGAATAATTCTTTATTGTGAGGGTGATGAGAAACTGGAACAAGTTGCCCAGAGAAACCGTGGATGCTGTATCCCTGAAAGTATTCAAGGTGAGGTTGGATGGGAAGCTGAGCAATGTGGTCTAGTGGCCAGGGGGATTGGAACTGGACAATCCATAAGATTCCTTCCAACCCAAACCATTCTATGACTCTGATTAATTGTAGCAGGGGTGTGTGCCTGTCGCTTTCCAGGTCTCAGTGTAGCTATTGCCAGCAGCAGCAGCTGGGGGAGCAGGGAGATACCAAGAGTGGCAACCTGATGGGAGTCCCAGGTCTCTACTGAGGCTGGTCTGTGCTGGCCTCTGTTCTGTGTTTGCCACCCTTGCTGACTGCCATCTGTAGAAAAGTTTCCTGTTGTTGTACTGGTACTGCCATTTAATTATGTAAACTCTTGTGAAGTCTCCTGTCATTAGACACTAAATGATGAGAACAAATATGTCTTTCCTCTTGGATTCATTACAAAGTTCTTTTTCTTCTCCAAATGTAGGCTTGATTTTTTTTTTTTTCCCTTCCACTTCATGAAGAGGACTAAATGAACAAGATAGCATGTTTCAAACTGTGGTTTCCTCATTAGTGATGGCAACAGTAGGGTCACAGGCTGTGAGTCAAATGGTTTGGTTTTGTGGGGTTTTTTGTGGTTTTTTTAGCTTATAAAAGATTTCTACTGGTCTCTAAGTGATTTGGAACACAGTTTATCATCTACTGGCTTACAAAATTTGGGAAATGTGGTTTTTTTGTTTGCCTTTCTTTTCCCTCAAGCAAATTCAGTTGCTGGTAAAACATTCTAAGCGCTCATGACCCAGAGAAATTGGAAGCAGCCAAGTTTTCATTTGGGTAAGGTACAAATCTATTGCAGCCACCACTGCTGCCTATCCCCAATTAGAAAATTAATGAAATTATTTACTTTGGTTCAAGAGAGCAATCTTCACTGTTATGTTCACCTTCTCTAACCCAAGCTGTAAAACTGTAGGATTATTAAAAAGGAGTTTAGAAATTTGTGGGGTTCCTGTTAGAGCTATATTTGAAAATTTTCAAAGGATTATTGAACTATCTAGAAAGATTCTGGAATTTCCTGGTTACTGCTAAGATAACTTTCTGCTTTGAAGGTGCCTGCAGATGCTCTCTCTGTTTTGTACCTAATTAAAGTCTTGGTCTTAATGTTTCATGAGTCAAAGCCTTTTGCCGAGAGTAACGTGCTGTTTGTATGAGCCATGCCCAAGCTTACAGCGTAGCAATACATGGAACAAAAACTGTCTCAGGTAAGAACACTGAAATTTGTTTTCAGTAGTGCTGTTTGATTCTGACAAAGTTTTTTGAATCACTTTGCTACTTAAAGTTACCTTCAGTGTCAAGTTTGACATTCAGAGCTCAGTCAAGGGATGTGCCGGCTCTCTTATCGCCTTTTGTCTTTAGTGTCTATTTCTCTTACTCAAAAGTCTTACAAATTTGAGAGGATTTGTGTGCTGATTTGTCTGAGTGAACAAATATTTTTTATGCATAATTCTAAGAAAACATTGCTAAGAAAATAAATAGTCCTATTCAGATGTTTTTCTCCAGTATGTTTGCTGACTGTATTAGGAAAGGTTTTTCTGAGGATGGAGGGGCTAAAATTTATCTTCCATGCTGTTAGAGAGATTGCCAAACAGTGTAGTCTTTTGATGTACGAGTCAAAGATTACTATACCTTTACACTTTTCATAGTGCAAAACATAATTAGCACATCCGCACTCGTGGATGCTCATTGGGATCTTGTCTGTATTTCTTTGTGATATGTTTTACATCAGTCTGTTCAGAGGGCAGAGGGGATGGTCCTGATTTGTGTGGTGTGGAGAGTGCCTCTTACTCAGCTGACCCATCTCCAGTGTTTCAGTGTATACCGCAGTGTTTCTGTGGATAAATAAGTAGTCTGGAAAGAAAAAGGCATGTGTGGCTCTACCTTGCACAAAGAAGCACACCCTTAAGACAAAACTGAGTACCCAGTTTCTGCCAAAACAGGTGTCTTTGCTTGATTTTTGAGTGATGTGGAAGTCAGTATGGGTAACTGGATAAAATATATTGGAGTGCATGAAGGCAGACACACACAGAAGCCTTTCAGGTACCAGTACTTTAGTCCTTTGCACACCACTCCACTTAGTGGAAAAGAAACTTCACATTCAGAGTGGTAGTGGAAGCTCCTGGAAGGGAAGAGAGATGTCCCACCACGTTTAGTCACTTTGTTCAACATGAAAACAAAAGAAGTATTATGAGGAGCTTTTTGGCTAGTAAACAGAAAACCTTCTCATGGGATTCCACAGCTTCTGGTTTTGTTTTTAGTACAAACATGATGATGTAACAAGTCATCTCGTTAAATAATGATAATTTAATGTTATCAGGTTTTGTTTACACTATAAACCTTTTTTTCAGCTATTCATAGATCACTATAGTAGTACTCTAAAGTATTGCAATGGAAAGAACATTATTTTGTGTTTCTCATAGCAATAGAAATCTAAATTGCAACCTTACTTTGCTGGTCTTTCCACTAGAAATAGTCTGAAACTCCTGGGAATGTGGATGAGTATGCATCATAGTCTTTCATGATCACTTTTTCTGTGGTTGTTAGACTTCTGCTGAAATTTGTGGTGCTGATTGCATACAGAGATGTGGTGCTGCTGGGACTACTTTTGTCTTCTGGCCTGTCAATATGGTGAGTCTTAGCATACAGAGAAAGCAGAGATAGCATTGTTAAAGAAGCAGTTTGGCGTCTGTTTTCTAGGCAGAAAAACAGCCATAGAATATTATTACATGGTGTGCAAATAATGGAATCCAAGCATGAGATGATAAAAGTACCTAAAATTAAAACACAAATACCTGTGTAATTTTAAGGGACCTTCTAAAATTCTGCTGTAACTAGATGAAACAATGCATTTAGGAAAAGTTTTAGTGATGATACTAAGAAGGAAGTGTTTCAGACCTCTTCAATAAAATGATCTATCCAACCAGAAGAACATCTTAAATGACAATGTGAATGGCAAATTGCTTTTGTTTCATTTATATAGGAATACCTACTAAAATGTTCATTGTTGAATTAACTTCTTTTTTAATATATATATATATATTTTTTTTTTTTTCCAGAGCCAGGACTAAGGAATGAGTAGTTTATAAATATTTAGCTTAAGATGATTCATGTACTGCTTCTCATCTGAAATGTATTCTCAAGGATGTTTTATTGAAAGTCTTATGCTTAAGTGTTTGAAAAGAAGAAATTCCAACAGTAGAAAGAGTATCCTACTTGTTAGCCCTCAAAGCTTTAATTAAGTCCTGAGGTATTGTAAACTGTCATCTTTGCTCAGTCCCAAGCTCTCTGTCTGGAATTATGTAGAACACTGGCAACTAACTTTGACCTGTCTGTGGAAAAATATTTTAATTGTCTGCGGATGAAACAGCAGATTCAGTGTACTGTGGTGTTCTCATTCAAAATAGGCAGTGTCTAGCTAGACTGGATTTTTTTTTTTAAGGCTGTCCCATGCTTTTGTTTAGTGTTTACAAGGTTGCTTCTCTTCCTTTATGTTACTATCCTGATAGAGAGCATGCCAAGTTTTGTTGTGTTTTGATGTATATCTAGGTGTGACTTTTGTCTCCACTAAAGTGTGTGCTTTGCATACACTTGTGTTGGAGTCTGAAGTGTTAATGCAAAAAGACAGATCCCCCCCTAGGACTGTGTTATTTGTAGTAGAGTAGCAAAACTGGAGGTTTTGAGTGACGAATGAACACTTTAGGTCACCTACAACCCCACAGAGCCTGAAATGAGGGCAGCGTTTCCTTCATTTTTGTCACCTTACCTCAGCAGGCCAGATTGTTATTATTATCATTATGTGAGCACAGGCTTTCCTGTTGTGCTGTAATTAGCCAAAAGTGAGCACACAAAGCTTCAGGAGAAAAGAAGAAATACATTTGAAACTACTGTTTATAGTTACTGGTTCTCAGCTTGAGATTACTGTGTTCTGACAGCAGCTGAACTGATCAATTTCCTTCCCCTTTCCAGTAGTAACCCAATAAGTCATTGAATTATTCCACTGCTGGTTACTCCTCGACTTTTTCCTTTTTCTATAAGCTTATTTGTAAAGGATAATCTGTGATGTGCACTTGGCTCACTCCTAATTTTAAAAGATACTGTGCTTCCTGTGGGAAGGCTGATAGTGTAAAATGAACTAACTGTGCAAACCCAAGAAAGGAGATTGATATCACTGTGTTTCAGCAATGTACATTAACAGTTTTTTCTTACTGTATGAACAATTAGAAATGTTGTTCAGAAAGAAAAAAGGGCCATGGGCTGCTCTGCCTTTGGGGGCTCCAGTTTCTAGATTTAGCTAGGTTTCTTTAGGGCTCCGTTGTAATAAAGCACAATGTCTTGCATTGTGCATGTCTTGCATTTTACTGACCTCTGAGTTTATTTTGATAAGTACTTTCACAATTTTGAAAAGTGTTTGAACCTACCCAGCTTCTGCTTCAGGTGCTTTATGTCACAGAATTTACAGGAACTCTATAGGGTGAAGGATTGACATGTCAAGGTGATTATCCGAGAGCAGTACCCTCTTTACCTTAGATTCTCCAAAAGAAAAGTTGTGTAAAGATTCCTACAGTAGTTGTGTACTGCAGAACTCTTCTTTGCACCTGCTCAAGAAAGATCACTGTGGATTTTTGATCAAACTGTGAGTTGGTGCAGCCCTAAAGTAGTCCCATCATAGGAACATCCTACTTCATATTTTGGGTTTTGAATTTATTTATTTACCTGTGGTATAAAAACGATAATTTTAACAACTGTTTGACTATATGTGGAGGTCAATTATTAACCAGTAAGCAGCCATGAAGAGATGCACAATTACTAAGTACAGTTACCTTTATCACTAATCTTGACTCCTCCTTGTTTGTCCGTACATATTGCAGATACTACCTATAACTCAAAATTGCCCTTTGCATCTTACTACTTGATTCAAGTTTCATGATTCAGGAAACATGATTCATATTTCCAAGTTTGCTGGGAAGTGACAATCTGTGACAACAGAAAGTCAAGACCCTTTTGTGTGGTCCCATGGCTCGCGTTCCTTTTGTTAGTTTGATGTATAGGCTTCTTCTCATCCACACTGTCCCTCTCAGATGTGGAGAAGCTGAAGTCATGAGATCTGAGTCTGGGTATTCTTTGGGCAAACAAGTGAAGTCCCCACTAGGGGAGATGTGTGCCCTACAGATGCAGATTGAAATGGGGCTTCTACCTGGTCATAGCTTTTCCATACTTGCCCACATTTCTTTTATGTGGGCAAAAACTCCTCTGACCCTGACTTGCAGTTTTCTCAGTGGCAGCCTTGCCAGTGCCCTACATCAGCCTTGTGCACAGGGGTCTGGTCAGATGTGCCCCACGCACAGCTGGCAGAAGGCAAACATCAGTGCAGTGTGGAAGCAGGTGAATCATTGTGAGGAGATGGGCATCTGGGGTATGTGCAACATGGTACCATAAAGAACTGATGTACACTCATAGTCTCTGTCTGGTTTGGGTCTATGTGTTTAACTTATAAAATGAATAGTGAAAGTCTGAAAGTCTCAAGATAAAATGTCTTTAAAACTTTTTCCATGTGTGGCATTATTGCAGCTCTTACTATAGCTGAATTTTACCTGTTTATGATTGCATCCCTACACGAGGCTGATTTTGTGATCAGAAAGGCCTCAGAAGTCAGTGGAAGACAGCAGTGTCAAGCTGCTCATAGCTCTTTTTACAAAATTCAAGGAGACTGCCTTGGTTGTAAGAGGTTCAAAGAAGAACTTAAATCTAAAATAATCATGTTCAGTTTATTTTAGTCTGAAATTATCTGGTCTATTCATATGTTGTTCATAATATATTATAGAACTTTGAGTTGAATTTGTGCAGCCAACAAAAATGATCTGAAATTCCATCAGTCTTGATGTTTGGTATATTTCTAACTGAATGTGCAATATCAGGATAATATTATTAGTTGTGGAAATCATGAAAGCACACAAGTACATCATCTGTTTGGAATGGTTAAACTGGAGGTTAAAATGCCAGTGAGAATTTCAGTTGCCTTCAGCTGAAGCTAGATGTGTAGTATCAGATTGTGGTAAGAAATAATTTATAAGTTGTTTGTTTGGGTTTGAGTTTTTTTTTTTAGTCACAGCATTACATGAATAGAAGAATTTAGTTTTACTCTGCTATACCTACAAATGATGGTAAAGTCTATGATGAGAAGTATGGTTCACAGAAGTTGAGTTAAAAACAAAATATGCCTAAGGATATTTTTGTTGGCTGCTATTGAACAATGTCTTGATTTTTACTTAGACCTTCAAAGCAGAAAGAGTTTTACTTTGAACTTGAGGCCTAATTACAGGGACATATATTTCTTTCAGGGGCTTAACTTGTTTGTTGAAACATAAATATTTTTACCAGTGTTATTGACACTGTAATATTGTACTAAAGTATCACAAATTACATGAAAATTGCTAGAAACGTGGGGTTTTATGAAGTAGTTTGACAGGGTAAGTAATTAGGCATAGTGAAAAATGAGACTTAATGTTTCCATTTGCAATAATCTCTAGAGATCCTAGTGACTAGGGTCTGACTGAAATTTACTAGCTGCTTGGATTAAAATTTTGTTTCAGTAGCAACCGCATGAAATACTTGGATGTTTGCTTGCAGTGCTCTTAGTATTTTCTAACTTATGTTTTTAGGCAGAGTGCATTTGACAGTAGGAACTATTACATTAAGAGACAAAGCTTAGGCTGAAAAAGTTGGAAGCAAACAGTGTTTGACTTGGGTGTTTTGGTGATGCTTTGGCTAATAGGAAGATGAAGTTCAGAGGTATTTTGTGGGACCTTAGAAGTATTCAGTATAAACATTCATTCTGTGAATTTGTTGCTTCTACATATCAGCTATGAATTATATTTATAATGGGCTTTGCAAACTTTGAGAAATACTATGTAGTATAAACCTACAAGGTGAGAATGGTAGTATGTCTGTAATGCACTGGAGGGTGGGACTTGCAGGAGCATCCCCAAATTTGGAAGGATGAGAAATAAAATTCTCCAGTGGTTTTCTTATAGCTTTTAAGAGGTTTGCTGGATAATGTGTCTTCACCATTAAAATGAAATGTAAATTTGCAAACAAATTTTTTATAAAGCATACTTGATGCAACTTTTCATTTTATTGAAGAATTGAAGCTGTTATGTGGAAAAGAGTAGTTCAGCAAGCTGCAGCTGATTCATGTAGCCCCAGTTGTTATTGTGTAGATTTGTTGTGAAACTGGAGGTAAAAGTATTTAATGAAGTGCAGTATATAAGGCCTGGGCTAAAAAAGGTTTTACTTAATAAAAACTTGCACTTAGATTGTTGAGTTCAGTTCTGTCCTCTGCAACAAGCTGACCCTTAAAACCTAGGATATGAGGTGAAAATCAGGGCTTACCCCATAAGATCTGCTGAGTCACTGCAGTTTCTTCTGGCACAAGGGAGGGTTGCAAAAGTTCAGCTCTTTATGTGAGAGACTCTTTAAGGAGTAAACAAGCAAGCTGCAAGAGATGTACCTTTAAGGGCTAACTGAAAAGAAGAAGAATTGTGGTGTAGTGAGTACTGGAAAGGCTAATGTCATCTGATGAGGCCCCCGTCTAGGTTTTGTTTCTTGGGGTTTGTTATTGTACTACAGCAGAGTGGAGCACTCTGCCTGTTACAGGTCTATATGGAGAGTAAGCAAATGCAGTCTGCGAGACTGCTTGTGCTGTAGGGTTTCTAAGAAACTCCAGCAGCGGGCAGAGCTGGTTTTGACTTGTAAAACACCTGTGTTATATAATGAACCTTGACCATGTATTTCATGCCATATACTCTATTAAAGTGACTTTTTTTATCTGTGCCTATAAAGTATTAGAATATATTCTGTTCTGCCACACACATTATCTTGACATATAGCGTTCTACTCATGTAAGTGAGAATCGGACCTGGCATTCCCTGAATAATTAGCAAAGCCAGCAGTGATGTTGGGAGGTTAAAAGGTCATTCGTGATCCTTCCATCTGTTCATTTACATTATCTTCAAGGGAGTAGCTCTCTCTGCAGCAAAAGCAAATATTTCAGTGAACTAAGTGCTCAGACAGTGAACTGTCATTTCACATATGTGTAGTGGGTATTAAAGATACAGAGAGAAAGATAATGCCATTTTTTCCAGCTTAACTTTGTTGTGCTGATAGCAGATTGCAGAGGTGGGTGACAACAGTAGCAAAAGCCAACTTGCAATGAATGTTATTCTTAAGTATGCTGGGAATTGTATGTTTGAGATAAAATAATCTCAACTATATTGTGTTCTGCTGAGTTAGCATGAAAAATCATTAAGTGGCCTTCTTTAAACATCTGTGGACAAGCACAAACTGTATCCCTGTGTATTTGGGTTTCACTGGGAAGAGAAAGTGTCATTCCAGTCAGCCAGAACTGCATTGATTTAGATGTGATACATGAAACATGGTTGGCACTGCAGCTCCTATGCCTCCTATTGACAAGAAATTTTTTCATTTTGTGTAGCAATATAGCCTTAGAATGACAGTAATTGACAGCAATTTTTTAGGCTAATTAGGTACTTAAAGAAATGCCACCAAAAGTAGTTTGTCTGTTTAGTTGCTATGATAAAGAAACAGAGACTTGAAAGGCGGGAGTCACTCAGGTCTAACAGTGGTCTATTGTGCTGCAGTGCCACACAATAAAATTGTAATTTATTTTGAATGTAGTCTAAAACTAAGTAAAAGTCAATTCTTCTTAATGAAAATTCACAGGCTTCCAATATCATCTATGTATTGGAAAGACTGCTGTCCACTCATGGATTCATATTTCATATTATGCAATGATTTAAAAAAATACAGTAGTATGTTTTTCTTTTTGTTCTTTGTATTTCAGATATTGTAAGAACATACCTTCTCATATGTAACCATATATCATCATGATGCTATTATATAGTTTCCTATCACTTTTTGTGCTACTTTTCCTTAAAAATATGTCTTTTTTAGTATAAGAGTTATATGGGGACAAATTACTTTTCCATTTCACAGTTCTAGTGTTATGTTCTGCTGAGGATTTTTCAGTCTATCACTGCATGTTAGTGATAAATTGTTTATATTTTATAAGCTTTATCTGTGTGTGTGTGTGTATGTACATTGTACATACGTGTAACATCAGTCTAGTGAAAGGTGTCCCTGCCTGTGACAGGAAGTTAGGATCTTTAAGGTCCCTTCCCCTCCCATTCCCATTCTATGATCTCTGTAATATAATAAAATGATGTAAGATATCATGTATATATCACAGCATATAACATATGCATGTATATAAATTGTATGTACATGTATAAAAGCATTCTTCAGCTTATTTCTGAAGGGCCTTTCTGAACTCAGGTAGGATTTACATTTTATGCATTTTCTTTCATCCCAATATGCCTGCCTATGGCTTAAATATCCGCTTTCTCAGAGATGAAAGGCATATGCTGTTTTCCTATGTTTTCAAAACTCTAAGTAGCAGTTTTTTTAAATTCAAGCTTGTTTCTAGTAAAACTGAAGTGATGACAGCAAGTTTGTGAGTATTACAGTGTAGTTTTTTCTGTCTTAAATTACCTCATGGAGGGGAAAATGGCTCCTAAGGAGGTAATTTCAAGCCACATTTTCTTTGAAAATATGTGAATGATTAAGGAGACTCTTTCCCCTCTGGTCTTATTTTGACCCTGTAAGACCTTGAACATATCTTGCATGATTGTGTAGTTTTGAATGTATAAATCTCACAGGTTTTTTTCGTCTATAAGTGTCTGTGCTTCAACTACATGAGTGATTCCACCCCTTGCTATTTGTCCCACCGCTAGAAGGAAATCTGGAAGATGTTTTGTAAAGTGCATAGGGCCTCCTTGAAGTTGTAACTCAAGAGAGCTTCCTGTAAGCAAGTTAGAATTCCTAATGTACTTTTTGTTCAATTCAGATGCTGAAATTGAAAAATACTCTTTCCAGTCACACTGCTGAAACATTAACAGAGCTTTGCTATGCAGGCATGACACCAATAAACATTTTGTTTTCAGATGTTCTTAGCTATCAATGAAGGAGGGCAAAGCTGTACCCCAGCTCCTTGCAAACACTGATGTTTAAACCTGAACAATAAAATCAGGAAAAATAAAGTTTCTTGTCCTTCATGGTGTTTCGAGAAGCATGTTCAGCTCCTAAAATAGTTCTAATAAGTGCAGTGAGATATTAGCTCTTGGACTCATATCTCGAATTTAACAGTGATAAAACATATGTTCTTCAAAAAGCCTACTTGGAATGTATTTAAGGACTGTCTTCTTGTTCAAAAATATTAACAAATTTCCTTGACACATGGTGTTGGAGTAAATGGGAAATTGTTTGCCTTATTATTAAATACATATTTTCCTGGTATTTTCCTGTTAAGGATTATATAACAACAAGCTGCAATATGGGAAAAGGTTTTTTCCCATATTTTTTCCCATATTTTTCCCCATATTTTTTCAAGTTTTCTGAGATCATTATTATAGTTACGGTGGAATCTGGAGATTAGGCCAGAAATTGTCTAGCAGGAGTGTAAATCACTTGAAATCACAAAGATAGTCCAGATGCTGAGTAAGAAAGAGCGCTCTGAAAAATCACTTTTTAACAATTTCAGTGAGCTCAAAAAGGAACAAACCTGATGAATGACATATTTGTAGCTAGGAATTATGTTGCTGTGTCCAGGATGAGATACTGTGAGAGAAATACAGTCTTCTTCAGGGTGTCTGCTCCTTTGTGGGATGAGGAACAAAGGCCTCAGGCACTGCATGTTGAGTGTAGTGCTTCACGTTTGGTCTTGTAACAGACAGCACGGGACGGATGTCTGTGCTAAGATACAAGAGGTGGGCTCCTTCTGTTGTTTAACAAAACACAGATTAATACTACTAGTGTAGCATGAATATAAGAGAGGGAATACCAAGCTGATCCAGTTATAGAAATACTTGCATACGAAGTATTTTGGTTTTGTACAAATACAAATTTTGTCAGTGATGAAGTAGGAGGACAGCAGTTTCTCTATCCAGGCTGCTTTGATGAACACATCTAGTACAAGGTATCCAGAAAGATAATCAGTGGACTGGCACACTTCTCCTGTGAAGACAGGCTGAGAGAACTGGGGTTGTTCAAGCTGGCGAAGACTCCGGGGAGACCTAGCCTCTGCCAGCTCCTAAAAAGGGCCTACAAGAAAGGTGGAGAGGGACTTTTAACAAGGGCATGTAGTAACATAATAGTAATGGCCAGTCTTTGCGAGTGAAGATCCGGGGAAGGTCTTTACACCTTCCAGCCTGCGCATTGGATTTTTCAGGTGAGACACAGTGTGCGCGGAACTGAGCCCACCCTTTAATCCTAAGGTTCATCTGCCAGGGCCAAGCGAGCTTGGACGGTGGCAGCAAGGTCCTCAGGACGTAGATGGATTGCCTTACAGGGCTAACGAGCTCCATCTGCCCGGGGAGTGTCCCTGACCAGGAATCGAACCTGGGCCTCGGTGGTGACAGCGCCGCGTCCTTAAAGGGTATAGGCTTTAAACTGGAGAAGGGTAGACTTAGATTAGAAGATGGGCAGAAGTTCTTTCCAGTGAGATATTGGAACATGTTGTCCAGACAACTTGTGGATATTGCATCCCTGAAAGTGTTCAAGACCAGGTTGGATGGGGCTCTGAGCAAGCTGGTCTAGTGGAAGGGGTCTCTGCCTGTGCTGGTGGGGTTGGAACTAACTGATCTTTAATGTCCCTTCCAACCCAAGCCATTCTATGATTCTGTAAACTGCTCTATACTAAAATGCACACATGAATGCTAGTTGTTGAAATTGTGGCCATGAGATGTAAATCACAATGCTGATAGTCTGTATTTATCTCTCAGGGCCTGTAGTTAAACTTGTGTGTGACTTAAAAAAACCTATGCATACAACCTTTGCATTCTTTGTTCCCTTTAATCTGTGATCTCTTTTGCATGGTATAATGAGAGAGGTGCATGGGGATGAGGTGTCCATGGTAAAGGTTCTCTGTTAAAAAAAAAGCATATTGTGGAGTAACTTCACTCATTTAAACCTCTGTGAGTCTAATTTTGGCTCTGGTAACAGAGGTAGGAAAGAAACTGAAACATGTGCCTCTGTCCACTTTGCAAGAACAGTGTAACACAGAACTTTTTGCAAAGTAGATGTTCACGTCTTGCTCCTTTGGCTGCTTCCCTTAGCTCAAAAGCTCCTTTTATAAAGAGCAAATTATTCACACAGAGACAATGCAAATGCAACTTTCTACTATAGATCACTGTGCGTCTAGACTGTGTCCATTTTGTATGGAAAAACACCATTTGGAAGGTTATCACAAATAGGGACAGCAATGTAACCTTAGCTGCTTGACAGGGTTTTAAAATATGCTGTAACACCATCACCTACTAAAGATCAACATACTTGAAATAACCACGCAGGTGGGTGTTTCCCAATGTTGCATGTACTGCAAAAAGTAGAAGCAGTATTTATTATCTTGCTGAACTTTTGGAACAGTTATTTGCTTTTATAGAGCTTTCATCTCATTATTAAGCTATAGTATTGAAGTGTTATCTCCCTCTACTCCAATTTCCTGTGAGAGTCTGTCATACCTGGCACCAGAATTCTTTGCATGATGGCCTTTGTTTTAGCCAAAATTATGCATACAGTTAATAGTTTAGATGGATCCATCTGCAAATACTGTTTTATTTGATGTATTCCTAACAGAGATGCATTAAACTATGCAGCGGCTAAAACACATGCACACACGCACACACAAATATATCTGTATATAAATGTAAAAGTGGTTGGATTTGGGGGGGAAGGATTTTTTTGTTTATTTTCCTTAATTAAAGAAATGAAAAAAAATTATTTTCTTTGCTCTCTTCCCTACAACATAACTTTATACTATCAGCTGTTTTTTGACTTTTTTTTTCCCTTCCTGAATAGCATTTTGACTATTCAAATTTAATTGCACTGAATTGCACAAATTTAATTGCTACTGTTTTTAGTAGACCAAAGCAGAAAGCCTTTCCTATGCATGTGTTTCCTATTAACATGTGTTTTCCTTCTACTTTGGCTCCTTTGCTCTTCATCCACTACTGCTTCCCTAATTCCTCACAGTTCTACTGTGCACAGTCTTTTATTGTGCCTCTCCCTCCCCTTATTTTTCTTTTCCTATCCCAAATTGCTAATGTGTTCACTTGCACCCTTCCTGTCTGTTTTTTTTCATAAAAGTCTTCAAAGTGAAAGAATGTTTTTCAGATGGATTTAGTTTCCTTCTTGCGGTAAGGACATAAACAGTGCAAAGGAAATAAACAAAGTGAAGAGTAGCCCAGAGAGAATTTCAGTAACCTGATTTCTGAGCAAAGAAGAGTACACACGCTCCTGTACCATGTGAGAGACATACCATGGAGGTATGAAATGCCCCTAGAGATTCCTCTTCTGCCCACCTACCCTGATACATGTCGGCTCTTGGGAGCTGTATTTGTTATGCAGAGTACCTGTGCTACCTTAAACTTGATGGTATGGAAGCAGATCCTTCCAAACTTGAGTTTAGGACCTGGCGGGCCCATTGATGCAAGAGCTTGTTCAGAGGCAGGTGTACCAAAACAGACAAATTGCTTGGTTCAACAAGTAATCAAGGATTATTTAATTAGAAAACCTCATTATTACTGCTATGATTTTGAGAAACTTCCAAGTGAAGGATCTACTGAAAAAACATTGCTTGACTACTGACTTACCCCTATGAGGGGAGAGTGATTTGCCATCTGCTGCGGTGTTAAGTCTGTGTGTCTTTTTTTCTGATTTGCTAGCCATCACCCTAGCAAGTCCTTCATCCTATTGAGCAAAAACATAAGCTCAGACCTGTATCTCCAAACTAGTGCTTTGTATTGAAAACTATTTCCTTTGAAGGGAGATGTGGATAGTCTCCAGTTTTTCCAGGTTTTATGCCAGACCAGTGCTAGTCACTGCTTGTTAAAATCAGCTTTTTAAAACGTGATTACAGCACCTTCATTCTGGCCTTGTGAGACATCTTAGTATCTACCCTTCCTTTCTGTCACTCTCCCACGTACGTACACTAACTTGCAGACAGACACACAAACCCACCAGCCATAGCATCTCATAAAGGTTTTTGGCTTATCTCCCAACTGTCTTCTTAAATGATCTGTTCACACCACCATCACCACTTCTGTAACAACCTGATGCACTTGTTCCTGCAATGAAGGGACAATCTGTCAGTCCTGTGGCTATCCTTGCTGCTAGAATGATGATGAAAGGTAAGCAGGCAGGGTAGTCTTGCTGGCTCTTACTTGTCTTTCTGTTTTCTTGCTCTTTATTTGGTGGTCTTTAGTAATTAGTACTGGGCTATAGTTCAGTGCTCTTATAATGGTGTCATATTGCAAGCAAAACTGAAGACCAGTCTCTTTATTTCTATAAAGAGAAGCATAGGTAGCTCGACTAAAATAATAAGGAATGTCCTTTTTCTCTTACCTAGCTAATCATCAGGCGCTTATTCCATTATTCTCCAAAATGGAGAGGTTCAGGGACTACAGTCTGCTAACAGTGACTATTGAAAGGCAATTTTTTATAAATACATCTAAAAATATGTCGTTCAGCATACTGATCCTTGTCACCTTGGACAAAAAAGTCCCAACCCAGTAGCCAGTAAAACCATAGGCTGAAAAAGGTATTTAATTTATTTAATCAGATGTTTCAGGTGACTAACACCAGGTAAGGCTTATCAGAAAATGGACCATTACCTTGTATACTTTAAATCATAAGAACACTCTGTTCCTAGGGGAATACATTGTCAAAATTGTGGGGGTTTTTTTCCCACTACACTTTATGGAACCTTTATAATTCTCATAGCGATCTTGATGGAATTTTGTTCTTTTCCTAGTTAATGGTTCATGAAACAGTATACATTGAGCAAAAACTGTGATTACTGGTGTGGGGTTTTTTTACTACTGAATGCTGAAAGCTGTATTTCTACCTTTTGAAAACCATGGTGTATGCTGTTAACTGACTTACAGATGATATTGTATGCCTTTTCTAACCTACTAATAATGATGCTTCTAACCCAGTTATAATGATGCATTAAGAGATGTAGATAGTGTTTCAGAGGGCTTTTGTGTGAAGGAAGGAGACTGCTGTTCAAGCCGCTCAAGAATTCAGAGACCTCTTTCACTTGTAGGAAAACTCGTACCAATTTCCCTTGTAAGAGCTCACAGGTTGGTGTTGGGCTGTGTATGGTTCTGCTACTGAAAGATCACTCACTGCTTACTCTTATTGATGGTGGTGAACTGTTTTCTTTTCATTTTAAGTCCCATTTGCGTGATGTTCATGGACTTCTTTTATTGAAAAAGTGAATTTATGTACAGATGTATTCTTTGCTTATAGTGATTGTTTAATTTTTAATTAATTAAAATATTGGTATAATAATATTATATTAATATTATTTACAGCTAGATTATTAAAACAACAACAACAACGAACCACCAACTAGTAGTTTGCAAAGAATTTCCTGTGGAGGAAGACTGTGGTGGTGCTTATATATTGCTTCTGAAGTTGCATTTTTTTGATACAAAAATGTGCATGGTGGTGCAACTGTATGTGGAGTATAAACCACATCTGAAAAATAACAGAGCATTTCAGAATTGGCAAAAGCATTTAGTAATGACTTAATTTTACTTTCTTGCTGCCAAAAATGTTCAGGAACAGGTTTTTCAGTTTGGTTTGGCACATGAAATACTGCTGGGAAACAATTTGCTTATTCCATTTGGCTGTAAATAACTACTTAAAAATGTTTATTTGAAAACATTTGTACTGCCATTTAAAAATTATGTGACTAAGTGTCCATGCTTTAAAACAACTGTGCATGTTTCTTAACAAGATATACCTCACGTTCCTTAATGTCAGTAGGGTAGGTATGTATGTTGATATGTTTTGGTTTTGTAAATTACAGAGCAAATATGTTGATAATTCAGGTGAGTGCCAAAGCATACTGTTGGGAAAATAAGTAGTCAGTTGCTCATGCTGGTCTGTCCATCCAAGACTGCCTTGGAGAACAGAAGTATATCGTTTCTTATAAGGGCAGTAGTAACCTTTACATTTAAGCAGACATATTCCAGTCAGAGAATGGAATAACTTCTTAAAAATACTGGCAGTTCTTTTGGTGCACATATTGATGCAGTTCTGCTCTAGTGGCTGTAAAATGTCTGTTCTGGTTTGATGACAACTAGACAGGAGGTGTGACAAATAGCACTATTTCCTTACATGCTGAGCAGTTCTTTCCTGAACTGGCTTCAGAATTATATTTTATTGTGTTGATCTGTTTTTTTGAGCTACTCTTGTCTGATGTAGCTTCTGAAATTATTTTTTCTCTCTTGAAGCTTTGTTGGTAGTTTAAAAAAACCACATTGGAAAGCTCCTTTAAACCAAAAAGACCCCAGCTTTTTTTCTTTGTAGGGCATCTAATAAAATGGGACAATGGTTTCCTTTTCAATAGCTTTCAAGTGATTTGGGAAAGGCATTTGAGGAACTTTTACTCTATGGGAAACTGAGTGCTGTTAATGTAATCAAAGGAATTTTTGTGATGTAGGATTTGTTCCATGCTGAGGCTGGTGCAAGACAGTTTTTTAAAATTCTTTTGAAGAACAAAGTGAGCTTTCAGTTATATGCTAACTAAAATTAAGTTGGAGGGGTCCTAGTAAAACTACTACTAATTGCAGATTTAACTTTCCTAGAGAAAAACAGTGGTTTTTTTTTTTTTTAATTCTTTGAAATAGACCTTATTATTCAGTAATATTCTCATCTGAATTAAATTTAACAATTGAATTTGGTGCTTACATCAGTCTTCTATGCCCATTCTTGAGTAGCCTTATTTTTCATGCAAGCTAGGCACCTGAAAAACAAATTGCTATTTAAATGACACATTTGGAAACCTAACCTTAGCTGTGCCTTACTGTAGCTATTTCCCCCAAGCTAATCTTGAGCTCAGTTCTGGTCTGCCCATTGGGCACTGCTGCTAACACTTTTTTCCATCCTTCTCAGTCTTGCTTCCTGGTACTGTCACTAGTGGAATGGTGACTTTGAGGTTATGCTAAAGTATGTGAGTGATTGAAACAACTGAGGCAATCAATCTCTCCTCCATCGTGGACCAGGGGTCTAACAGGTTGTATCACCTTCCTCATCCCCTTCCAAGTTTCTTCTTGAACTCAGGTCTGACCATATCAAAGCTGTGCTTGCTGTTGAAAGGAGTTCCATTATGACTAATATTCTTTGTTAGGTTGATTTTTTGTTAGTTTGATTGTCTAGGTGAGTTCTGGGGCTGGAGTAGCACTGTGCATAAGGATGCCAGCGAACACGTGCTTGGAAGGCAGGACTATAGCAGCACCAGCCTGGATGAGCTGAAATTGCTGCAGGTATCTTGTCTGAGTGATACATGGTGACACTCCCTCTGCTTGTTCTTTTTGCTCTCCATATCAACCATTTGTCTTGTCATGCTGCAGTATTTTATTGGACAGCATGCATTATGTGGTGGTGTTATCTCAAAGTGCAGTGTCCTCTATATGTTAGTAATGTTAGCCCATTGCCATATCAAAGTTGCCAAAGTAAAGGAGCAGAAAGAACTCTGACTCCGGGCTCTGCAATGACTTCTACCTGTGCCCTTCACTGTGATACTACCCTAACTTCTGTTGCATGCAGTTGTATATAGCATGCAGAAGTGCTCTTCTTTCATGTGTTTCAAAAACCCTATCTTGAAATTCATTTTATTAATTTTATTGATTCCAGCTGGCTTTATAGGAAGATGGCTAGTCTTCTAAAAACTACTGTTGTTGGCATGTCAGTATTGTTGTTGTTGAAGTCAGTATTGTGAAAACCTAAGTAGCAATTGGGAAGTCTCCTTTGGCTACATACAAATATCCCTTCTACTTTGTATGTGTTCAGACTGTTACAAAATAATGCGAAATTAATGGGCCATTCCACTTTGTAAAAGGAGGGCCTGTTAGCAGTTTCTGCAAAACACACAGTGTGACGTCAATTAAGTCAGGGATCAAATGTTTGTTCTTTCTGATTGCTGATCTGAGGTCGGTGATTTGGAAAAGTCCCTTAGTTCTTAATACATCAACACCATCTACTACGCAGTAGAAAGTTTGCTCTGCTTTTATGGGTGGTGTTTGGAAAGATGTAAGAGATCCTTAGGGAAGAGCAGAAGACACAACAGCTAACACCAGAGGTTAAGTAGGCTAATAGGTGGTAGAGGAGTGAGATCAATTTAAGACTCTTTGAATGAAGCTCTGAATTTTAAAGTCATGGAGGAGAAAAAAAACAACCCACCTATACTGAGAGGGTTTTTAAGTGATCTGTGAGATACAGAATTAAAAACCCACAGAAGTTACAAATGCCAAGAAATGTGTTTTATTGAAAAAGCACGGTATGGTGTGTTTTCAAGAACTTCTACACTTAGATTCCTTCAATAAATTTGCAGTTTTATTCCTTGTAAGTACGTTTCCATCTGAAAAAATCATGGCAGATTATTTTTGGAAAAAAAATGGAATTTGTTACAGAAAACAAAACACGTAGCTGTAGTTTGTGCTGGTTTTGTGGCTTTCTATGTGACCACGGACATTACAGTTGTAGTATGTTGGCCTTGAAGAACAGGGGACTGCACAAAGAGTACCATTTTAAATGGAAGAGGAAGGAACTCTTGTACGTTGTCGAATCTCCTGGGTCATCAGGCTATATTCTGAGTATTCAAAAACTTCGATGGAGGTGATATTTGCTTAAGTTCTACATTGCTTCCCCTATTACTACTGTTTTAAAAGAGATCCAAATAGTGTACCATATTCCTGAAAATAAGGGGGGCACTGTAGAAATCAAACAGTAGCAGAATCTTAGCATTGCACTCAGATTAGTTGCTGAGAGACTAAAATGTCTGGCAGGGCACTGAAACTAATGTGTGTTATCAAGCTAGGTAAATAAAGGTGGTGTGAACAGCTAGAAGAACAGTGCAGATGGCAGTTGTGTGGTGGTTTTTGCTTTCTGCTTTCTCTGTAGCCTTCATGCTGTCCTGATGGTATCATGAAAACCATGAGAAGGAGGAGAAGATATTTTTTTCCCTTTCACTTTAGTGGTGAATTTCATCACTCTGCATACTACTTTCGATTTTCATCTTCCTCTTATTTTTGAGGCAAAATAAAAAAAGGAGTCAGATTGATAGACTAATCGGAACTTGAAACTGGACCACATGATCAGGGTTGTCTTTGAATTCTTTTCTTTTTTATGTTAGGCATCACATCTGGTCTGCTTTTTTTTAGCTGTAGTACCAGCAAGTTTCATGGAAAAACAGACAAGACAAGATGATATTTAATTTGGAAATCTGGTGCTGATGTGCGTATCATATTAGTTGGCAAAGAATCCAGACAGAGGGAAGACTTTATAGGTGCATGATCTGTAAGAGAAGTTTGTTTGGTGCCTAAGAAGTCATGAGCTCCAGCCGCTACCATTTCAAAGAAGTAAGGGATCTTAGCCCTGCTTTCCAAGATTACCATAAATGGTTTTGAGGTACTTGAGATGAAGGGAAACACAAGGCAACAAGTACAGAAAGAGTAGCTTTTCATTAATGACTATGTGTTCGTGGATTTCTTCTGCTGTAGAACATTTTTGGTTTAGAAATTTTGCCCTTTTTGGGAAAACTTTGTGTAACAGTTTCACACTGGAGCTGAAATTGGACAGTGTGTGACTGTCTTCTACCAAGTGTTTTGGTAGGAGAACATTTCCATATAGATCTGCAAGTCCTTTTAATGAATTGAGGAACTGACTTTAAAAGCTACTCTTACAACTTCCACAGCAGAGAGACAAGAGGAATTTAACCTACCATATCTTTTTAATGGAATACACTCTAAATACTGTTTACAGAACTGGAAATTCCTGTCAACATCCTTAAATATTGTGCTGACAAACTACCATCAAGAGTGCAGTTTTGTTTTGTAAACTTCCAGTTACTTTGGACAGATAAAATTAGTCTGATCGTCTTATTTTATTTAGTGTTGACTTAGTATCATTAGTATGACTTTAATATAAGGTTCTATGTGCTTTTCTGAGAAGTCATCTGCCGCATTCATTCTGGGGGTTTTCTGTCTTCCCAGAAGAATAGAACTGTTAAGGATTAGAAAGTGACTAAATAAACAGGTACCTGTAATGTATGCAAGTATGAGAACTATTAATTCCAAAATTCTGTATTTCCTCCCAATGCATTCACTTAAACCCAAAAAATCCAACAAAACAAAACAAACAAAAAAACCCACCACCACCACCAAAACAAAACACAAAAAAACCCCAAAACAAAACTAAAAAGAACTGTTTCCTGAAAATCCAGTTGTGTGTTTCAGACTCTCACAGATAAAAAACCTGTACCATTAAAGTGTCATTTCATTTTGTTTTGTTTTGGTTTTTTACTCTTCATATTTAAAATTATAGATTATGCCTTGTAAGAAGTTATCAATATGTTTTCCTTCAAGTGAAGTTCCTCTTTTTTAATGTACTAAGTCACTGCAGAAGCCTGCCAGCAATACACCTGGGAATATATCTGTGTTAAAAGTTAGGAAAAATATTTAAACTTTAACTATCAGTCTGGACAGGGCAGCACATGTAGTGAAAAGCTATATGGCTCTTATTTGGAATGTGATTCCTAAAGAAACCTGTTTTATCAGTGCTTTTAAAGGAGGATTTATCTAAGAAAATTATCTAAGTAGGTTAAGAAATGCATTCTTCAAACAAATATTGTTTTTTTGATAATTGAAAGAAGGCAGAACTGATTTTTTGTTAGATGAACTAATGCATGAGGTGTGTAGGAACCTAGCGATAGCATTTTTGGCTGGCTTTCACTGAAGTTGTTGGGAATTTTAAAGTTAACTTGAAATTGAGTTGAGAGGCCATTCAGGTATTAATACCAGTATCTGTAACTGGGCCTAAGCAACTAAGGTTGTGTAACAATAGTTAGTTACTTATAATCTGCCTAAATGAATGCCTTAAGATGTTAGTAATCAGCTATATAAGGAAAATGCAATCAAAAACTTGAAGCTGGGTAGGAAGCTCACATTTGCTGTCAGCCCTCTCAGTTCTCAAAACTCTGGCTGTGTGGTAGGCAGGGTGGTGCTGACATAGTGGGCTTTTGGATGATCAGAGAAATTAAAAAGGTATCCCTGTAGCTTTAGGGGAAAATGCATATGGCGCATTTCCTCCAGAGTCATGGAAATTGCAGTTTGTGTTAGTCAAGAAGCAAATGATTCAATGATTCCAGTGTGGGAAACTAAACTGTGAAACACAGGGTTGATTTTTTTTGTCTGAAACATATTGAGTGGATGTGATTCCTTCAAGTCTGCATTTAGAATCTGGAGTTGTTTAGAGCACAAGGTTGGAATTGAAGGCTGTAAACTTGTGTCTCAGGAACTGAATATGTCGCACAAGCTTTTGCTGCACAGAGGAATCATGACCAAAATGTTGACTCTTCAAAAGCATTTGGAAAAATACTCTAAATTCCTACTGGACTTCCATGTGTTTTTTTGTTGTGTTTTTTGTTTGTTTGGTTGGTTGGTTTTGGTTTTTTTGTTTTTGTTGTTGTGGTGGTGGTGGTTTTTTTGTCATCAGGTTGGATGGCATCTCAGGATTTAAAGACGTGGTCTTTGTAGCCATCTTTCACTGTCATGGTTTAAGCCCAGCCAGCCACTGAGTCCCACACAGTGACTCACTTACTACCCCCTGGTGGGATGTGGGAGAGAATTGGAAGAGTAAAAGTGAGAAAACTCATGTATTGGGATAAGGACAGTTTAACAGGCAAATCAAAAGCTGTGTACACAAGCAAAATAAAGCAAGGAGTTGATTCACCCTTTTCTGTGAGCAGGCAGATGTTCAGCCATCTGGAAATGCAGGAAAGCAGCGCCCCATCACGTCTAATGGTGACTTGGAAAAGAAGACAAACAGTCACTTTGACATTCTCCCCTCCTCTTTCTCCCAGCTCTGTATGCTGACCACGACACCATATGGTCTGGGATATCCCTTGGAACAGTTGAGATCAGCTGTTCTGGCTGTGTTCCAACTCCATGTGCACTGGAGAGTGTCCCACTGGCTGGTGGGGTGGGGTGAGGAGCAGAAAAGGCCTTGACTCTGTGTAAGTGCTTCTCAGGAGCAGAAAACATTGCTGAATTATCAACACTGTTTTCAGCAAAAATGCAAAACCTAACACCATGCTAGCTTACTGTGATGAAAATTAACTCTATCCCAACCAAAGCCAGCACACTACAGTATTTCTGAGATGAAGTGTTTTCTTCCTCTACTGTGAGCGTGTCCTTTGCAGATGCAGAGATTCAATGCTTTATTGCAGTTTCCTGCTATTATAGCAAGTAAGAAAATAGTTGTAGCTTAGCCTAGAAGTGGATCCAAGACTGTAACTTGTGACCTGTCTATGAACTGTTAAACCTCATCAGAACTGAGACAGTAGCTCTTGCTCTGTACATTATAAAACATAAAAGAGAGCACCATGTACCATTTCAGTCTATTTAGAGCAGGCAGAAAATACACAAAGTAATACTTGTTTTGCAAAAGTTATTAGCATGGAACAGGGGATGGTTGTTACAGCAAAGATTTTAAAAGATGTTTAACACAACCACAGTTGTTAGAGCTGTGTGTTCTGTTTCTCAAATGGTTATGAACCAAAATAATTCTATCCTAGATGCCTCTAGGAAATAACCTGGCACATATTCTTTGGAGTGTATGAGTTCTTGTACTTGGTGGTTACTGAACTTGGCCTCTCATTGGCAGTATGTTTTCACATGAAAGAAGTGTTCTTAAATAATTTGTCTGTGTCTTCTGGGAAAAAAGCAGGGGTTTTTTCCATGTCTGGCACAAGTGCTTTCTTCAGCTAACTTATGGAAAGAAAGTAAGTTAACTGTTGCATTCGTGTTTGCATCCCATGTTGCATTTATATTTGGCTTTTCTGAGTATGTGTGAGGATACTGTAGGAAGTTTGGCATATAGTAAAACATGATATTATGTCTATAGTCTTGGAGGGTATGTGGAGAACAACAGGCTAGGGTGGTTTGGTGTTTTTACTGAGGGATCAGTTGATTAAACAGTCTTCCATTACTGATTAAAATCACATTTCTTTTCCTACAAAAGCTGTTTTAACAAGTTCTTGATGCCTGTGTTCAGGTACTGATAGAGTTACAAGCATGGCTTAGTATTAATATGAAATGTGTTGATATAGCTAAATAAAGCTACACACAATTTTAAAAGCTATCAAAACTAAGTTGTTGCCTTTAAGTTGTAGTTTGATGTGTGGGATACTCCTAATGCATATCCAAGTAAAGGAATTATTGATTAAGACACATTACTTGCATGAAGGCTACAATGAAGAATGCAGTTACCTGCACTAATACTGATACGTGATGCTAGCAGAGGGTTATTTTTCTAAGGACGCATTGTTTTCTTCTCAGAAAATCCAGGTTTCTATTTGTTGTCCCCTTTTTTTTTGGCTCAGGTGCTTCTCTGAAGAGAAGGAAAATACTGACTCTGAAGCCTTTTTAAAAGGTTTCTTACTGGTGTTAAGTATGCTCTTCAGAGTACTGACAACTAAATTAAGTGAATGATGCCTGAGAATACTTTTTTTAAGTCAGGTTTTAGTTATGTACAAGATGCTATTTGTATTGATTAAAGACAAATGAGATTTTTTTTCTTCTAGTGTATTTGAAGAATAGCTTTACTGATGTGACTTAAAACAGTTATGGGAGATGAGCAGGAGGGTTAATTCCAAAAAGGTATCAGAGAGCATCTGATTACATCATATTTTCTCATATGTTTAGTCAAGCCATTTAGACTGTGAAATAGATCACCTCAACAAGACTGTTCACAGAAATTTTGATGATGTTAACTACCATTATGGAAAAATTCCAAAATTACTTTTTTTGTTATCTGCAACTATTCAGTGTGCAATCCTCCAAATCATCATTGCTATTACTTATGAATGATTGGAGATTGTAAGGTTATAAGAGTGCATGTAATTACACAACACTCCAGACCATGCATGTCTACTGCTCTACATAAATGTTTTATTATGGAGTTACTTGTGCCACAGTAGTGAAATATCTGGGGCAAATGGAAATTAGACTGCACTGATTTCCTCCTGTTCAATACTGCTAGTTTCTAAGTATATTAAATGACCTGTTTGTTACCAAGATATTTGACATCATTCTTGAAAAGCTGCACTTGTAGATGAATTCTTGCTTGGGCCAAAGAATTGTAGAAAAACGAAATCTAAAGCTGTTGTGTGAGGTGTAAATTTCTGATGGCATAGTGATGGCAGATCTTTCTTTTAATAGGCTCTGGAAAACATCAGTGCCACCAATGAATAGCTTGATCTTCCCTCTCAGCTCCAAATGACTTGTACTGTTGTTCATAAGGGTAAGTATAATTCCATTGTGAAAGTGTTGGTAAAATCTAGAATGGTTTTTAAAACACGTCATTGTAGCTTTTTTTTTTTTATTTACTTCAGCAGACACATTCAGAGTGTCTGACCAAAGTTGTCTTAGTGGTTTATTCTTGATGTAGCATTGCTTTACAGCTGTGATAGGATGCAATGTAAAATATCTTCCTAGGCTGAGGAGGTATGGCATGTCAATGCAGCCAAAGGCCTTGGACCTCTGAGACATGCCATTGAATATCTGGCTCACAAGTTTCATAATTTTGCCCATCATTAGACCTTTCAGGAACATCTCATGCGGTATGTGGAGGAGCCAGATTTCACTGCAGACTTGCATACTGGTGTGGGGAAAAGAAACAGAAAGTTGTGTAGAATCAGTCACGTACTGGACATATTCCTGGTGCAGGACTATCCTTTTAGTCTGCCTGAAAAATATTTCTAGGAATATCTTAGATATGTCACCAATCTTGGTGACTTGCTGTCTTCTGAGAAATTTGAATTCACCAAAAAAGGGATAATAAATTGTCTGATTTTTCTGACCATTTACTTTTCTAAAGCAAATACCCTCTTTACAACTTAAGCTTCTGTTATTAGATGTTGTCTGCTACGGAAAATGGAGATGTTACTACTGGGAAACCAAATGAAGAGAAAACATATAAAAAGGTAAATAAAACTTACAACAAGCTTTTTAGTGTATGTTTTCCCCTTCATGTCACTAATTCAGATCTGCTGTAAGTGAAATATATTTCAGAACTAAGTAAAAATAAGAACAAATAACACATGGTCCATAGATTTTTTTGTAAGTAGTTAATTCTTTCCGTGAAATCAATCATAAGATGTTTCTACCTACTGCAAAGCTGACTATTTAAAGCATGTTCAGTATAGCTGTAAAGTATATACTCTTGCTAGATTAATAGGAATTCTTTGCTCTTAGCAACAGATATACCTCTGGGCATAAACACTGTTGTAAGAAATTTAGTACAGCAAGTTCCCAAATGCTTTGAATGTTTATACAATGTGTCTGGACTATAAACCTTATCACTTCTTCAGTGCTTTGTCAAACAGGCCACTATTTGTTTGCTATGTGTTTTTAAAAAAAGAAATGTTGTTTAAGAGAGGACATATTTAGTGTAGGAGCATGCATCAATGGTAGCAGAACAGGTCCATTTAGATATTGTAACAATAGCTGATACTGATTTGAAGTTTGTTTTTCTGACACTGATTGTCTTGACCATCATTATTTAGGTCCACCTAGCAATATTGGTAACTTAAGTGGAGCTATAAATGCGCCTTTTTCTATATGTGTTTACATAACCAAGTTGTTAGCTGCCAAATTTGATTTTTTTCTTGGCAGATCACCTCAAAGAAATGGTAACTGGGTTTTTTTTTCTTAATTTCTGTAATCTAGCACAGAGATTCAAATGCTTCTGCAGTATGTATAATGTTAAGAGTTTTTCATTTCTGGGTGTGACAACACTGTTGGTGAAGTCAAGGAGATTACTAAACTGCTATTTCTTTTCCCACCCCTTTTGCTGGCAGTTACATTTTCAGTGTCTGGGTATCCTTGACATTTCAGATAGTTTTCTCAGAAATGAAAGTAAAGAATGTTTGAGAAGATTATTCCCCCCACCACCTCCTTTTAGGTACAGGTTATATTTGATCTCCCAACTTATCACTTTAAAATATTAAACTCTAATTTTTTCTTGACACTTAGTATGAGAAAGGAAGAAATTTTCAGCGCCTGAGATGAACACTTCCACAGTTTTATTTTGCTAGAGTAGACTAGTAGGTAGCCATATGTAAGTTTCCATTCCCCCCAGTCATCCTACATACTCTTCTCTCTTCCTTTTCAACTATAAATTCACAAAATTGCAGAGAAAATCATGTAAAGGCTTCTCACCGTGGTACAGATTCTTCTGTGTATTTAATAATAATGGCCAGTCTTTGCGAGCAAAGATCCGGGGAAGGTCTTTACACCTTCCAGCCTGCGCATTGGATTTTTTAGGTGAGACACAGTGTGCGCGGAACTGAGCCCACCCTTTAATCCTAAGGTTCATCTGCCGGGCCAAGCGAGCTTGGACGGTGGCAGCGAGGTCCTCAGGACGTAGATGGGTTGCCTTTTTAAGGGCTAACGAGCTCCATCTGCCCGGGAGTGGCCCTGACCGGGATCTGTGTATTTACCTCTCTGATAAAATGTAGGATTCACAACCACATCACATTGAAGGGTCACGGTGACTATCATCTCCAAGTTCTGTTGTCTCCCCTGAACCACCAGTTGTCTGTGTCTTATGTCAGTTTATTTCCTTTTCATATCATTACACCCTCAGTCGTTCTGTGTTCAAGCTCCTGTGTTGCATATGCCCCATAGTTAAGTATTATCACCAAATATTATCATCATACTCCTCGTTTTTGTGATAATGTTAATAAAAAATTAATAAGTTTTGACCCCACAATTTATCCATGCAGGGCTAACTGGTAACGTGTCTTTGCCTGATGCCTCACTTTTAACAATGTACTCTCTTCTCTTGAGCCAAATTCCTTACAAATCTTGCACTCTCTGTTAGACCTTGCAGACTCTGCTCGAGCAGGGAGTTTGGACCAAATGACCCCACCGGTGGTCCCTTCCAACCTGAACCATTCTGTGGTTCTTTGATCCTCACCTCCAGATATTCCATATAACATTTCATATTTCCTATGGAAGTTAGAGGAATCAACAGTAGATACCAGGAAGTGGGATACAGTTTAAGCCTGGTATGACCTATGTTTATCAGAGGCATTTCGTGTCATTTCACAGTTAGTTCCATATTTTTAGATAACTTACACAGAGAGATCTTGCTTGGTTAAATGCTTGTTTACAGTTAACACCTGTCTGTCTTTTATTGCCCACATCACTTTTCTTTACTCTTTTACACAGGTTTACATTTACAGTTCTCCAGTCATGTGTTGTTATACTTGTTTGGTTTGGCTGAAAAATACTTGCAGTTCTGTCCTGTGACTTCCTCTGCCACTTCCTCCAGAAATCTGAGCTGAGGAAGAGCTTGTTCCTTCAGCTGATGCTTTCTCAGCTATTTGGGTAGTTTGTGTTCCAATTTACCACTGCCTTTAGTCGCAAGGGCACTTAGTCAAGATATTCGTCAAGTTTTGAAGGCACATCATGCTTGCTAATCTATTTACCTTGCTTAGAAACTTCACTTGTACATTTTTTTTTACATAATAAACTATTATTACATAATCATAAAGTATTTAAAGATTTGTATTTAAATACATATTCTGTAAAAATTACGTAATAAATTTTTACACAAATTTATTCTTACATAATAAATACTTTTTTTTACATAATGCATTACATAACAATTTACATAAAAATTGAAGCTTATACTGTTCAGCTGAGAAAAACAGGACAGTATCTTGGTTTGTGTCCTGTAGTTCTTTAGCATATGTGGCCTTGGGAGAGTTCCCAAAGATACTACTTGTCTGTACATCCTGGGGAAAAAAGGAATCTTGTTTATAATGGACTACAGTAGTAGTCAGCTGACTTGCCAGCTGCATGGATGTAAATACCTTGAAGTTCCAAGAAATTTCTTACATTATTACAACCTTGTGCAAGGCCTTGCATGGGCATTGCTACCCCATCCTTGCGGACTCTGCAACGTATGATGGGACCAAAAAAATGGCATGGTTTCTGTTATAAATTGTGCTCCTTCGTTCTGCTCTATTCTTTTTTAGCTTTCAGTTTTTCTGCTACGGCATTCTGATTTAAATTTCAGATATAATTCTGATATAAAATCTTCTCTCTTTTAATTGTCTGTTGTTATCTAGTCCAAGTCCTTGAGAGAAGAGGGAACGCAACTTCCTCTTTGTTGTGTTTGTTTTTCTTCTGAAAACCACAGTGTTTTCCTCTCTTTAAAAACAGTGTTATTTAAGGTGGGACTGCTGGGCTGTTCAGCTGCAGGCGTTTGCTACAAACCTTACGATCTGAAGCTACTCCTGGGTTTTCTCTGTATGTGTAAATTTCAAGAAGTTGCTGAAGTCTACGGTGTGACTACGAGCTACAGAATGTTTCAGTAACTCAGATTAAAGAATTTAGTTAATGGAACAGACACTTCACAGAGGAGCCTTGTAACAAAATCCAATCACCAGACTACAGTTTCTCTTGGATATTCATCACAGTCTTGTGTCTGATAACTGGAGTATGCAAAAACCACATTTTTCATTTCCTCCCTATTATTTTGCAGACGTTGTTACGAGAAGCTGCTGAGACGTGCAGCTTTTGCGTTGTGATGTCATCAATCACACGGTATTCCCTGAATCTTCTCTCTGACAAAATATATTTCAGTAGCATCCTGATGATAATACTAGGATGGAAGCAAGAATCAGGCAGACATGTCTGTCAAAGCACATCAAGTGTGTAGAAGAAAATCAGACCTGAAAACAAAGCATATGGAAATGTGTACTTGTGAAAAAACTGCTACTGGATTGCCACAATCTCTACATTTAGTCTGAAGGCTGCCACACACACATATAATTAGAGGGTTGTGTTTTTTTTTGTTATTACATATGTTGTGGCTCTTCTGTTTAGCATATTGCAAGCACTGCATCACCTGTTCAAAACTGGGTATCATAAGTGAGAGTCACTTTGCCAGGAGCAAAGGGAATTAAAGGAAGCCAGCTACCTATTGTTAGAGCTTGCAAACACATGCAAACAGCATTGCTTCATCACTTTGGGCATTGACTTTTGCCCTGCGTCTAGTGTCTCCACATAGGGTACTTTTTCTTGCAGATGCTGAAACTTCATTACTGCAGGTTTTACTACATTGAGACCTGTGTTCTCAGTGGCAGACTGTGCATCTGCAAGGACATTGAAATAACTCTCTTTAGTGGCTTTGCCTGGAGCAATGGCTACTATCAAACTTAGAGGTCTCAAATTCTTTTTCTCAGAGGTGCAACAATCAGAGTAGTTGGATTCATGGTTACATCTGAAACTTCAGCATAAATGTTTTGAAATGGAGTAAAAATTAATTGAAAGCCATGGAGTCATCTGAATCCAATTTTGGAAAATGGAGATCAGATCCAGTTTGGGTCAGTAAATCATTCTGATAGCCGTTGAGCTGGAAGAACAACTCAAGCACACACATGGTGGGTAGAAGTCCATCTTCATGACACAGACAAACACGATGTCCAGCTTCGTGAAAGACACGCACACAGTGGGTGGAAGTCCATCTTCATGAAGTGTGACCTGCAGAAGATGGGCAAATATTTGACAGAGAGAAGAACGGTGTGAACTGAAGGAAAATTGAACAGATACTGGTGTCTGTAATGACCCATGGTTATAAGTTCTGGAGAAGCAGTGAGATCAGTTTATTAGTGGGATTTTCTGGTAACTCTGTTTTTATAATGTCCCTGTTTGTGATTTATTATGTGTCAGCTGCAGAGAGTATGCTGAGATGGGGTAGCCACCTCCAGGAGCTTTAGCAGAAGCAGCTACAAGAAGTGTTTCAGTGGGACTGTAAGCACCACAGGCACTCAAAGACAAGACAACTCTACGGCAGAAGTGGTGGACTAGGCAATAATCACATGTACATCTTGAATCTAATTGCAATTTCCTAATGTTCTAAGATAGCTCTTTTTAAATGTTACTTGAAGAAGTCATACTGTTTTTCAACAGGCATTCTCCTCATCTGCAAACTTAATACATGATTTGAAAGGATTTATGTTCTCATTTGTTTTGCTATTCCAAAAAAGGATTTCAGCTTAGAGTGATGTAAAGCAAGTGGAAGACCCATCTGCTGATAACAGTAATTCAAGAGAACAGTGCGTCTAGTGCTAGAATATATATCAGTGATGCAAATATTCCATATACCTAACTGTCTGTGTTCTATATTATATACTGTTTCATCCTGTTGTTATGCTTTATGTGTCTGCACATAATTTTTCATTCCTACAGCCTTTTTTAGCAAAGCTATATATAGTTACTTTTGACAAAAATAGACTAAGGTGTATTTCATCATAAAGAGGACAGTTTAAGCTTTTTTATTCAAGGCTAAAACTGTGCAGAAGCTTTTTTATTTCAATCCTCCATAAATTGTGGGACTTCTGGAGCACTTTGTCCCCAGTACATCTCTTCCTGAAATGCAGCACTTTTACCTTTGCTTATCTGTTATCATTTAAGATGGAAGAGAAATGTCCTTACCTACTTTGAAATATTGGCATTCTGGGACAGTAGTACAGTGAATGGGCAATTTCTCAGTTTGCATGTCTGCAAGAATGGCATTTTACAGTATATTTAATCATATAACAGTGATTGACAAACAATTGATTTTGGGCTAGCAATTGCCTTCAGCATGCTGTAACTGCCATCAATTTATTTTAAAGCCATTGTTAAAGTATCCTGAATTATTTAGTTACATTGCTTTTCTATTAAACCGACTGCTGTAATTGCTGTAGAAATGATGGATGGAAATTAACAAGACGGTTGCCTTGGAGGTAGAGTCTGCATCATACTAGTAGAAGGCCTTCCATTCTGCCTTTCAGAGGCAGGTTTACTTTTAAATTTGAAAAAAAAAAATAGTACAGATATTTTTTATAAGCTTAAAAGGTGATCCAGAGTTTTCCTTTTGAAACATTGCCAGGTTACCTGTCTTGGAGTTTTTTTTGAAGTTCGATGGGTTTTGTTAGGGTTTATTTGGAATGGCATGTCCTCTCTTGTACTTTCCTTTCTGCTATTCTTTCAGACATGATCGATTACTGTGGTAGTGAACAAGGTGGGCATCCAGCTATGAAGCAGAAACTATTTGTATGTGTATTGCTTTGATCAAAGTTACATAATTACAGCTTTTGTTGTGCATTAATCATTCATGAATAGAAGCCTTTCAAGGAAAGAAAAATGTGACTCCTCTTATGACACAAAACCAAATCGTTTTAGTAGTCAAAGTAACACTTTCAGAGTGGAGTGTTATTTGTTCCCACCAAGTTGCCTGTTCTAACCTGTTATGCAAGTATAAGTTCTGCTTGGTGTGCAATCTTAATTATTTAGGAGATACACATCGCTGTCTTTTCTTTTCTTAAAATAATCACTCACTCTAGTATTTGCTGTTCCAAAAACTGTAACAAGAGTAGCTTTGTGTACTTGAACCATTTCTTATGTAATTCCCATTCCTGAAATGGTTTTGTTCAAGTGCTGAAGTGGTTCTGATCATGAAACTTCTGGGGTTCTTTGCTTCCACTGTTAATCTCTAGCTTGTTTGGTGGGTGGGAGGTAAAACCTAAAAGCAAGCACCAAATACGTTATCTTCAGCCTGGTGAAAATACATCATGTAAGGGAAGATACTCCCTTCCTGATAGCCTTCTTTCCTTTCCCAGTGCTTCGGTCTTTTCTTAAGGATTCCTTTCTTGAGCAATTTCTGATTTTGATTCAGTTCTGCCAATTTTTTTAATTCATCCAGCAGGATTGTCTATTGAGCATGAGAAAGTTCCAGAAATGGCCTCAGTTTACACAAATATAGTAGCACAATTTGATGCTGACCTTTCGAACCTTTATCTGTCCTGCAAACCCTGGCTGTTGAATTTAGTCATTCCACTTTATGCAGGTAGATTTTTATTGGGGGATTTCTTTTTCCACATTACTCATTTTTCTCTGCATTCCACCCAGTCAATGCACCTCTTCCACTAACTGTTAGGCAGAATGTAACAAATACATTTGTATCTAGAATCAGCATTAAAGCCATAAGCTTGCTTTGTAATGGCTTGGTATGCATGTACAATCACCTGGAATTTGCGACTTTTTTTCCAGTGCATGCTGTTTCTAACTCCTGAAGCAATTTGAATGTCCAATTAGATTGAAAATGTCTTATGAGGATCACGAAGAATGGCTATAGGCTGTTTTGTAAAGACAGGCAGGATAGTTGAGGAGGAGGAGCTGTGCTCTGTGTTAAAGAGAACCATGAACATATAAAACTTAAATGCAGTGACTATGGAAGCCCTATCAAATGCCTCTGAGTCAAGATCAGAAGGTACATCTCCTAGAGATATCTTAGATTAGGCCTCTGCTACTGACCCCCAACTAAGATGGAAAGGGCAAAGAAGCACCTAAACAGGGTCAAGCAAGTTTTAGATTACAGATCCTGGGTCTTATGGGTGATTTCAACTACCCAGACATTTGTTGGTGGACCAGTATAACAGGTTACATCAGCCATCAAGTTCCTGGAATGCACAGAGGACTGCTTCCTCACACAAACGGTAGATGTGCCAACCAGGAATGAGGGGCTGTTGGACTTGCTACTCACAAAACAAAGAAATCTACCTTGTAGTATCTCGATTAGTGATGATTTTTGGCTGCAGTGATCCCTATATTGTGAAGTTTGGGGTCTGAAAGTTAGTACAAGGCAAAGTTTTTAGATTTTGAAAGAGCAAACTTCAACTTGCTCAGAGCTCAGCTGGGCTTCCATGGAGCGAGGGAGTGCTGGGAATTTTCCAAGACCACCCTGCTGGAAGCATAAAACCCGTTCATTCTCTATAAAGGGAAGGGAAGTAGGTGGAGAAAGAGACTCCCTTGGCTTAACTGTGACCTTCTGAGTCTGTTCAAAACCAGAAGAGAAGCAAAAGAGATGAAAAAGGGGACAAATACTTGTTGAGAACTGCAAGGGAGTTGCCAGGGCATGCAGAGATGCAGTTAGAAAAGCAAAGATTCAGCTCAAATTGAAATTGGCAAGAGATGTCACGAACCACAAGAAATAGTTCTTTGGGTATATAAACAACAAACAAAATAAACAACAATAAAAACCAGAAGGAAAATATTTGCCTGCTGTTGTGCAGGAGAGTTGAATTAGTCACCAGCAATCCTGAAAAGGCAGAGGTTCTCAGCACTTCCTTCATGTCTGTTATCACCAGCACTTTTGGGCACCAGACCTTGGGAGCAAAAATCCAGGTTGATGCAAACTCAGATCCAGTGTCAGTGGGTTGGTATGTGAGCTATTACAGAGCTGGGTTTGTTCAGCCTTGAGAAAAGAAGGTTGGAGGGAATACTTCCCACCATTTTCCAGTATTTAAAGGGTGGCTACAAAGAAGATGGAGACTTTTCTTATGAGGAGTCAAACAGAAGGTATGAGGGATAATGGGTTAAAATTATTCCTGGATACATTCCAGTCAAACACAAGTGGAAATATTTCACAGTCAGCCAATAGAATTATCTCCCCAGAAGTGATGAATTCCCCAACGTGAGCATTTTTGAGATTTGGCTTGGCAGGGTGCTGGGCCATTCTTACTTTTGCCAAGAAAGGCTGAACCAGATGATTCTTGAGGTCCCTTCCAGCCTGATATTCTATGATTTTATGCTGAGTTAGAACCCAGTGTGGAAATTATTTGGGCAATTTGAAAAGTTTCAGTTTGTACAACCAGAAAACTAATTTTTGTAGATTTTGCTACAGTATAGTGATTCTTTTAAATATTTTAATTGAAAATCAGTCATCTCAATGAGCTCTAGGAGATAAAGATGACATGATGTTGTTATTAAGAAAATGATTAAAGAGATTAGCATATAATATTACTGATAAAGAAGAGAAATCTGGTTTTAGCAAAGTCATGCTTGAATTCTTATTTTCTGCACAGACTGCATCCTCAGCTATTAAAGGTGCTATCCAGCTGGGAATAGGATACACAGTAGGAAACCTTACATCGAAACCAGACAGAGATGTTCTTATGCAAGACTTCTATGTAGTGGAAAGTGTCTTCCTACCAAGGTAAGAACATGCCTTTTCAATTTGTCTTCAATAGAATTTCATAATTAAATTCTTAACTGGATATTTGAACGAGGATTGTTTTCCAGTTCTAACGAAATGATATTAGAGAAAAGTTTAATGTATGGAACTTCTGTTTTTCATGTTGTCATTGAAAATGAAGATAGGAAGAAAACTGAAAAGGTCACACTTCAACTGAAGGTTTGAGACTTATCAGCTGTGGAGAGGGAGAGTAATTGTGACATTTTCGACTAAAGGAGCTGTTAATTACAATTTGAAGTGATATATGGATCCAACATTCACATTTGTCTAGTTTCAGTTTATTTTCTAAAAACTGAGAGTAATATTCACATTTTGTTGAGGGGGCTTCAAAATTTATGAAAATTCAAGTCCTGTATTTTAAGTATAATGTAATAGTTTATACTACACTATAAAATTCTATTCGGGACTTTAGTCTGTGACAATGCTTAGATCTTACAAGCTGATTACAGGTGGAGCACCTTTACTACTCTGCCATCTCAGCTTGTTTCACTGTCAAAGTGATGGTAACAATAGAATCACACCAATTACGTTTCTAATAATTTACAATCCTTAGTAATTACTGGTGTAACTAAACAAAGTTAAATTAACAACATACAAATTTAAGTTTTGATTTCTCCTCAGGTAAGTTTGGTTTGATTTGACTCCTGTTTTTCTTTGAACTGAGATATCCTTAAGGAAAAGAAAATTAATTTTTTTATGTGAAATGAAGCTTTTACATTACATACTTTAGTTCCTAGTAGTTGACAGTATTCTTATCCTTGTTCTGGTGTTAATAATAAGGTTTTTGCACAGTTTTGTGGCCTTTCTCTTGTAGATTAGGTAAATATACAGAAGTTAACAATATGCATGTGTTTTTATACACTGTAAGCACAAGATTTTGTTTAAAATAATCCAGATTACCGGTGAGAAATTTGCGTATCATGTAACAACGTTTTTGTTGGTGAGAAAAATGTCTGCCTGTGACACTGATGGAGGCTTCTGTAGTTTGTTTGCTGTGATTATCAGCTTTATTCATGGAAATTAAATGAAACCTACATACTAAACTGTTTCATTACCTAGCACAGCTTGAGAAAAAAATCTATTCTCTATCTTTTTATACATGGTTTTAAAGGAACAAGTAAAATAAAATAGTCCATAGCATTGCATATGCCTTCTTTGCTGTGAAACTCACATGTACATACAGAAATGAGATTTCCCTGTTTTGTGTTCATTTTAAGGAAGAGCTGGGACACATCCCTTCTGGCTTAAAATGAAAACAATGACAGAGGGAGTAGGATGATTGCACTAATGTAAAACAGATTAGAAAATCTTTAGGAATATCTTTCTGAGAATTTCCTATAAATAAATAAATCAGATGAGGAAAAATAGACAAATGAAAGTAATAGTGAGAGCAGCATAGTTTTGGCTTTTTAGTTTGGGTTGGGGTTTTGTTTTTTTGGGTTTTTTTTGCATCACTATGTACTAAGCAGTAGCATAGAACAGAGTGAGTTAACTGTGACAAAGAGCCTCTCTATAAAGAGCACTTGTTGATGACATTCTCTGTGGAATATATGACTATCCATAGCAATCTCTTCAAACCGTGACATTTGATCGCTTGTGCTGATGCACAGAAACATCAAATTTCAGATCCTTGTTATGTCTCATTGTAACATGCACTTTTATTTATCTAAAGTATTTTCAACCAAAAGTGATATTACTGTGCATAAATTGTAATAATTTAGGGTTGCACATAATAATACAGTATTCTTTCTTGCTGGTTGAGGGTATTGGGATGTTGAGTGTTTCACGGTGGCATTACATGGATTGGTCATGGGTCATATTCATACCTAGCTTTATTAGCCCAGGTAAAAAGCCAAGGTTGCATGTTCTTTACAATTAGGGCTGCACTCCCAAAGTGCACCTCAGCTGCTCTTTATTTTTAACTAGCACAGGACCTGCATGTGATAGCAATATTATTAAAGGCCCTTACTTTAATGACTTCTGGTTTTGTCTCCTTTGGATTGGTATGGGTAGAAAGTAATTAGTTGAAATTAGTTACACCAGCAGGCCAAGGGCGTTGACCTTTACCTGGAAGCACACCAGAGCAAGCTGAGGTTGGGTAAACTTTTTACAGAGGTTTGCAGCTTGAGGAGAACCTAACAGTGCTGAAAACAGGTGGTTACCAAGCAAGGAACAGTATTTTTCCACTTGCTTTGGGCACAAATAATTCATCTGCAACTCCAAGCAGACCATTAGCTGAATTTCCCCTTGATTGTGGCGAATTCACACCAACTCCTCCTCCATCTTCCTCCCATGTTTTTTCTGCCTCATTTGTGTCTAGCACTAAGGTGAGAGGACAACTGTTTTGCAGGGTCATAGGTACACCTGCTTCTTTGACATCAACAGGAGCGCTCTGATGGTGGCAGTGATAAAATAGACCTAAGCTAGAGGAAACGCAATGAAATAGCAGCCTGTGCACCAGCAAGCAAGATAGTGTTATCTCTACCCTTTTACTATTAGGGGAAAATACTCAGCAATGGTTTTTTAATTTTATCAGTTGCAGAAGATAGTGTCTGCATACATCTCAGACCCTGAAATAACCCTCGGCACCACACATGCCTCTGCTTCAGTAGCCAGAGCAAAACACTTCCACTGGTGTTCAGAATTCATGAAGGAAGGAGAAAAATGCCAGGGAAAAAAGTAGTCAGGTCAGATCTGAACACATCTCCCATATTGTGGGAGCTACTGATGTAAATCAGGAGTAGCTCCATGGATTGCAGGTCGTTCTTGGTCCAGAGTTACTGTGTAACCATGCTAAACTGGTCAGAATTTAGCCCAGATTCATTAAGGTGTTTATTTCTGGAAGTAACTTTGAGTGAAGTACAGATGTCTCTGTGCAGTGAGTGGGTTTGAATTGCAAAGGTGTGTGCTTTAATTTGCACATTGTAGTGGTACACAGGGTGGAAAAGTGCCTTTGCCACTTTGTGCTTCATATTCTGGCATTCCTTTCACCCCTTTCTTCGAGCTCCCAGGAGTTTACATAACATATTGCTTTTGCAAACTGAGGTATTACTGGTATTACAGCTATAATGGAGTTCATTGAGAACCACTGTCCAGATAGAATTTAAGGGGTATTATGCAAATGTGCACCTAGGACCAAGAAATAAAACCCTGCACTGACCCGGTTGATTCTGAAGATAGCATTTGAGGTCTCTGCCCTTTTCCCTGAATAAGGCAAAACCATAGGGGAAACCACTCCAAGTAACCTGTCTTCTGGCTTTTCAACTCTGCTGTGGAAATCCAGTAGTGGTGGTGCTTACATGATGCTGGTATTGCTGCGGTAGGGGCTGGAGTGTTCAACAGGAAGGCTATGCGTTCTTTGTGTGTTGTCAATGCTCTGTCCTGTGACTCAGCTCTGTAGGACATATTTGTGCTTCTGGCTTCCTTGGCTGGAGCCTCTTTCTGGTGGCACATTTTGCCTCCAACTCAGTTATTTCTGCAATGTGGCTTCAGCAATATGTTTTAGATGTTTGACTCAGCTGTGGCACTGCCTCCTAAAAACATGGCCATGGTTAGAAAAGCCTACTGTTCACCTAAAAGCCTAGCTCAAGCCATGGGACTGCGAAGCTGCTTGTAAAGTGGCAGTGTGGGCAGCTTGTTAAGCTCTTCCAGAAGAATCACAGAATATACTGAGTTGGAAGGGACTCACAAGGATCATCAAGTTCAACTCCTGGCCTGGCACAGGATCACTCCCAAGAGTCACACCATGTGCCTTAGAGTATCATCCAAATACTTCTTGACCTTTGTATGGCTTGGTGCTGTGACCATTTCCCTGGAGAGCCTGTTCCAGTGGTCAACCACCCTCTGGGTGAAGAACCTTTTTGTAATGTCCAATGTAAACCTCTCCTGACACAACTTCAGGCCATTCCCTTGGGTCCTGTCACTGGTCACCACGGAGAAGAGATCGGTGCCTGCCCCTTCTCTTCCCCTCATGAGGAAGGTGAAGACTGCAATGAGGTCTCCCCTCAGTCTCCTCTTCTTTAGGCTGAACACCCGAAGTGACCTCAGCTGCTCCTCACGTGGCTTCCTATCAAGGCCCTTTACCATCTTCATTGCCCTACTTTGGGGGCTCATTAAGAGCTTAATATCTTTCTTCCATTGCAGTGCCCCAAACTGCCACAATATTCAAGGTGAGGCCACCCCAGTGCAGAGCAGAGCGGGACAATCCCCTCCCTCGACCAGCTGGTGATTCTTTGCCTGATGCCCCCCAGGACACAGTTGGCTCTCCTGGCTGCCTGGGTACTGCTGACTCATATTCAGCTTGCCACTGACCAGAACTCCCAGGTCCCTTTCTGTGGTACTGCTTTCCAGCATCTCATTCCCTGTACAAACATCCAGGTCTGTACAAACATCCAGGGTTGCCCCATACAAGGTGCCGAATTCAGCACTTTCCCTTGTTGAACTTCATCTGGTTGGTGATTGCCCAGTCCTGTAATTTGTTGAGATCTCTCTGCAGGGCCTCCCTGCTTTTGAGGGATTCAACAACTCCTCCCAGTTTTCTTTCATCTGCAGACTTGTTTAGTATCCCTTCCAGTCCTGCATCCAAGTATTTTAGGAAGATGTTGAAGAGCACAGGGCCCAAGATGGAGCCCTGTGGAACCCCACTAGTGACAGGTCACCAGTCTGATGTCACCCCGTTCACTCTTACCCTCTGTGCTTGACCCATGAGATAATTGCTCTCCCACCACATGATGTGTTTACCCAGCTGTGTGCTGGGCATTTTGTCCAGTAGGATCCTGTGAGAGACACTATCAAAAGCTTTACCAAAATCCAAAAAGATTACATCAGCTGGCTTCCCTTGATCAGATAGGTGGGTGACCTTGTCACAAAAGGAAGTCAGGTTGGATAAGCAGGACATTCCTGTCATGAAGCATGCTGGCTCTGACCAGTGACTGCATTGTCTTTCAGGTGTTTTTCAATAC